TCCACAATCCTAAAATGCTATGGGAAGGGAGGGAAACAGGTCCGCGATTAGGAAGAGGTGAAGAAAGTAGTAAAGGCGAGTTGTTCGGAGTTGTTTATGACGATTAGATTTAGGTATCTACAATCTTAAAATGCTATGGGAATAGAGGGAAACAGATCCGCGACCGCCGCGACGTAGGAAGAGGTGGCAGAAGTAGAAAGGTGAGCAGTGCGGAGTGTGGGAACTGAAAACCGTTTGTAGCAGTTTTAATGTATCTGCGATGCTGAAATGCTATGAGAAGAGATGAAAGCATGAACACGACATAGGAAATGGTGAAAGAAGTAGTAAAGGCTAGCAGTACGGAGTGTGGGAATGTTTTTGCCAATTAGATTAACGTATCTAAAATACTAAAATGCTATGGAGCGTGGTGAATACAGGTCCACGACGTAGGAAGTAGTAAAGTATGAACATCAGCATAGTGTGAGATCCGTCTGTGGCAGTTAGATTAATGTATCTTTAAAAACGTTTAAAAGAATAGTCTAGAAAGTTCATAAATACCGAAACTATAAACACGAAATGACAGGTTAAATCGTAGTTATAATAGTCAATCAGCTGCTCATAGTATTATTATCTTTAAGTTTTGCTAACCTATTTCCAAGCGTACACGGATTACATGCATAATAGAACCACATTGTTTTGTGTTGTTTCGTTGGAATCCTGATGTGCGGCAAAGTATAAACCGCACGACAAAGTATAAACCGTACGGCAAAGTATAAATATGCAGCAATTAGCAGCTTTCTGTACTATAAACAGTACAAGGAAGCCAACTTTGTCGGGTGACTGTAGGAAAAACTATTTTTTTACTGCAGTATGACAAAAACAATATACTAATATGAACCCTTGATGACTCCGCTCAATTTTGTGGATGCCTCTGTGAACGCTACCTAGTTAATATTTTTCCCCTAAGGATTGTGCATAATTTTGATCTATTCTTTCAACAATAATTATGACTTCTGAAGTTTTTAATACAAAAAGTGTTACTCCTACTTTTGCCTATTCTTCTGTTTCTTCGAGGAATTATTTTGTTTTACAATTTACCTCTGAACATTTTAAACTTAAATTAAACTGGCTTCTACGTGAACATGTCTGACTTATGTTCATACAAAACGTGTTTTAATTAATTTAACTGTGTCTTCTTAATATATTTTGTAGTCTCAACGTGAACTGTTTGTGCCGAGACCTTGGCTGAAACTGAGGACGCGACCGAGACAAACACATTGTAATCTTACTCTTATCTGTTGAATCTCTCGGCTCGCGTTACGTCGCACCCCGACGATATTCTCTTGTTTCTTCTTAGAGGAAACCACCCGTATCATGAATTTTGGCCATATTCACTTCCCCTCCACCATGTAACGAAACTCATTACCGCAAAGCTGACATCGTCTTGTATGAGTGGTTTGTATAGCCTACTGGACAATAGGTGGAAAAACAAATAAGTTAATCATCGTACTCTCCTGGTACATTACATCTCAGCTGGTTGTGGTAGCGCGGGTGATTGGAGTTAATGACATTACGTCATAGGCTGGTTATCACGCCTCCGTAATCCGCCTTGGCCATTTAATGTAACCTCTATCCATCGGCTTTAGAAAAAAAACTATTATATTCATGCAGGGTGTTTTTTACGCAACCCAAATTACAAACGAGGGTTGTTTAAACATTAAATAAACTAACTCATAAGTTTGGTATCCATGTTTTTTTTATGCATTGTTGAATTATTGTTGCCTACTTACAAAATTTTGAATACAATTTTAATTAAAAGTTAATACCATAAATTTTACATTTGTATGTAAATGTAGTTTGTTTTTTGTTACCATGGAGACCAATTAATATTTACTTTCAAAACTCTCACCTCAGAACTTTGAAAGCCCGCGAGGCAGAGTCCTAGGTCAATATCGAGGCGGGAATAGTTCTATATGCATCCTCGGAGCTGTAGCTTCATTTGTGAGCAATTTGAGCCCAGTCGGCTCAGTAGTTTTTGAGCTTAGCTCATACAAACACACAGACTATGATGATAATTGTTTTGTCTTAGGAAGCTAGGCACGAGTCCGGGATTGATTTTCTCATTACTTCAGGCTAGACATAGGGGTTGCGGCATTATCACTTGGATAAAATCCATTTTGGTGATTTGGCAGAATTGGAACCCGGAACCTCAGGGACCGAAGTGCCGTGCTCTAACCACTAGGCCGGCTCGCTTCCCCAGTATTATGATAATAGATTTCTTTTAATTTTTAAGATATCATTCAATCTTAAGATCTTAATCACCTTAAGAAATGTTTTAGTTAATTTAATGCTTAGAACAATTACGCCAATCTATTTAAGACAGTACAAACTTGTTCTACCTGCGATTGAGCTGAGAAGGGGTCTTGACACACTGAACATCATTGAGACAACACTGCTTACACATTCTCCACATTCCTTCCTTATCTATCTGCTATCTGTATCAGTACTTCTCCATCACATTGAGCTAGATTTTAGGTTGGTATTTAGGAGTTTCCAAGCTACAATAATTGCACTATTTTGACATCCTATTGGCTTTTATGTATTTATTTGCAAGCCTACACTTAGTATTTTTAATTTTCGTATTTTTTATAGTTGAAAACAATTTATGTTACAACATTTTCTCTGTAAACTCAGTTTTGTTTCCACTGATAGTCTTCTTTAGTGAGCTTTGAGTGAATTTCAAAACAATAAGGTTAACATTAAAGCTAATAAAATAAAAGTAATCTTCTCAGTACGGTATGGTCTGAATACTTGAACAGAACTGGTATCGTACTAATATTATAAATCTGAAAGTTTGTGAGTGTGTATGTTTGTGTGTATGTTTGTGTGTGTGTGTTTGTTGCTCAATCACGCATAAACTACTGGACGGATTGGGCTGAAATTTGGCATGATGATAGCTCACATTCCCGATTAACATTAAAGCATATTCTTATCTCAAAGACCCTTTCGGGCTCCGCCCCAGTGGCTCTGTAGTTCCCCATGTTAATCTTATGATTTTTCATATTTAAAAGGAATTAATGAATCTTAACAGCTGTCTCAATTAAACAAGTTGGTTCTGTTCTATGATGTTCAACAGCATAAAAGTTATAAGGATTACCAACAGGGTGCAGCACTATTAATTTTTTTTTTAATTTATGACAACAGCTGATTTCCAACCAAAAGGTGAGTGAGCGTAGCGAACGAACTTCAACCTTGAGGCGAGTTAGCGTAGCGAACGAGCTAATCTGAAGGCAAGTGAGCGCAGCGAACGAGCTCCAACCTAAAGGTGAGTGAGCGTAGCGAACGAACTTCAACCAGGACGTGAATGAGCCATGCGAATACTTATGAAGCTAAACGGGGCGAAGCCCGCGGGTACAGCTAGTTGATCATAAAAATAAACAAATTACATTGCTAGCTCGAATCCTAGGTACTAATAATAGCATTAACATATGGTTTAGGCAGTACTATTCAAGCAATGTTAAATAATGTTTATTTTTGGGCCAGAAACATAATTTATTTATGTTTATGATCCATACCAGTTCTGTTCAAGTATTCGTGGTATAGAACCTCAATTGTAAACGGAAATGCTAAAGTGGTGAATGATATAGTTTCTTTGCCTATGAAGGTAAAAAATGAAGAGTAGTGATTCAGTAATTTAAGCTTCTTATTATTTACTTTTTTGAAGCAATGTATTTAACAATATAATGAATTACATTTGTATTGAGTACCACAGAGAAGTAACAAACCGAGGATGCACTCCATGATACAACAAAGTGGTGTCTAGCACTAGTAATGGTGTCTAGGACAAAATCCCGCACCGCCCCCCCCCTCTTGCCATAATGTACAAATGCCTCACCATGCGACCTGTGCAATAGGAATTTCCACACAGTGCTCGCAGTTCAGAATTTTCCTTGCTCGTTACAAGTACTTCTGCCCCAAAAATACCAAAGCTGAAATCGCACGGTTGTCCCATTTAGTGTGTTTCTTCTGTACATTACTTCTCTGTGTAAGTACACATTATACGAGTTAGTTGTTACAGTTGTTTTGTGTTTGGTGAGTCGGTGGCTCAGTCTGTATAGTGACAAATTCCTCATAACTACCAATTATAATTTAAAAGTAAAGTTCATTCTTGTACTCTTAACTTCTTCATTATTCTACTCACCCCCTTGCTTTGCGTGAAACTCCATTACTGACAAGGGAATAGAAATTCTCCTAACTGTGGTTCCACACGTAGACACATGCCATTGGGGCTCATGTGAATGCTGGCAAATGCAAGATGAAAATAGGCTCCCACCCTATGTAAGCAGGTGGAAATTTATTCTTGGGGCTTCAACTAGGGTGTCCTCAATCTGGACTTTACTACCGCACTTATCTCTTAATAAAACATGTACTGTCCATATAAACTTGTAAGTTAAGAGTCTTCCTTAGTGGAAGCCATGTTGGATTTCTTCCCCATAAGAACAATGTTAACTTTGGGTCCAAATATCTCATCAGCAAATTGTCATATAATTATGGATAAGGAGTTAAATTTAAGGAATTGCGGTCCTCTAGAGATTGACGTTTTTTATTTCACAATTTTTAATTTTTATAATGAATAATTGATTATTAATTAGCTTAAAATTATGCTAATTATTGAAAGGAAATGAAAATGGATTTTCGAAATTCAAAAACCTCAGTCACGAGTCTATTATGTTAAAAATACAAATTATAAATTTCAAAGCTATATCTTAACAAATAACGCCGTTACGTGTCCACAAATGATGTAATGTTTAACATTGTTCTTATGGGGAAGAAATCCAACATGGCTTCCACTAAGGAAGACTCTTAAACAGAATATTCTTATTCGCCTTCTCTACCTATCTATTATATAAGAGTCTTCTTATATAAAAAGACTTTATCTTTTATCTTTTCTTTACAAACAACCAAATTGTTGTACTATATATATGATAAGTGACACAAAGTTTAACCTGTGACTCATTCAGTGTCCAGAGATCATGAGGAGATGCTACGTAAGCAGTCTCAGCTACAGAGGGAGATGGACCTCACACGCAAGGAGCTATCAGACAGGGAGACTCAGCTCAACCAGCTCCGCAAGTGTAAGTTCCTTCAAATACCACCAGTGTGCAAACTGTACATTATAATATGAAAATAATCAACATTACTTCAGTGATGACACGTAAATAAACGTCTTTACGTGTCTTAAACAAACCAAAAATATGCATGCCAATGCTGATGAAAAGTAATTTCGTGATTGGTTTCGATAACTGGGTACTGGAACCCTAACCAGTAAAAGAGTTAGGAATCAGCCAATGATTAGGTATATTTTGTTCGATAGAATATGTAAAGTCAATTGCCCCTTTAAGATGAATTCCACCACACAAACTTACACTAATTGTAGTTTTTTTTATGTTGATCAGAAAAAAATCTAGGGTTAAGTTTGGTCAATGGTATGCCTTTACCTTACAATAATTTTGTTAAACCTTAACAAAAGGAGTATACACTTAGAAGAAATATTAACTGGGTAGGGATGCTAATTTAACATTTTTGGCCAAGAACTAAGCTTACCTCAACACACCTTTATTTGCTTTTCATATTTGACGAAGACAATTTCCAAAATTCCAATCAGGGAAGCCTTTTTTTTATCACTATTAATCAAAAAACCAAAGCTATTTATACCAGTAAACCAGTATTATTCACTATTATCAGTATTATTTCAGTATTACTATTTTCAGTATTATTATTATTATATATTTAAACCAGTATTTATTTGCAAACAATGTTTGCTGCCTTTAGCAGAGTTTGGAGTTTTATTTAAATTATTTATTGAAAATAACATCGACAAAAGCAAACAAAGACAAACAACAAACTGTTTTTACACAAAAGAAATGGTGTATATGGATATTATATTTTGACATATAGATAATATATTTCAACAACAAATGAGATATTTTGACAAATAGATAAGAGTTTGTTTGGATATTAAAATAATTTGTTTTATACTATGGAGCTTTTTAGGGACTTATGTCCCTACAAGCCACTAGTTTTATTATATTCTTTCTACAGCATAAAAGAGTTTAGTTTAGAAAAAACTAATGGAACACTGCTACAATACACGTAATAATTAATTTTTTCTGTAGGTGAATACATCATGTTCGAACTAAAACCAAGATTTAATCATGTACTAAAAATAATAAATAAGAAGATGATTAATGGTACGATTATTAGAACAGAAGCAATATTGATAATAAATAGATGAGTCACTGGCCCGAAAAATCAATATTTTTATATGGTTTGTAATTTGTTTATGTGTATGACCAATACTGTTTCCATTCTAATGTCCCTGATTGACAGTTAAAATAATTTTACCAGCTTTTTACTAATATACTGCATTTAAGTCAACAGCTGATATTTTGCCTTTGTTTATGTGTCAATTACTGCTTCCATAAGGATTGCAGTGAAACATTAATAGCCCAGTCAATGAATGCAATAAAACACCCTTTTTCGCAACTAAATGGTGGAAAGCTGGATTTTTTATATGTGATAGAACCACATGAGAGGTGTATTTTCCCAAAAGTCCCCACTTCTACCCCTTGAGCTTTCCCCCCACCCCCCTCCAAACATAGAAATTGCAGTGTTTTACTTAATTGGTCATAATTCGAATGCTATGTAAGCTATCGAGCTGCAATTTGTTTTGTTTTATTTCTGATTAGTTTTCCTACAACTTTCGTATTTACAACATTTCTCTAAAACCAATACTTAGGGAGATATAAAATTTAAACTTTGTTAAAAGCTTTGTTTCAGAGTGCAAAATTTTGTTTTTCTCTATATATACTTTTAAATAGAAATAATACGCAAATATGGTTCATACAACAGTTTTAGTACGTTTTTCAAGGTTTACAAATATATTATTGGTTAGTCATCTAGGTGACCGGGTGAAGAGCTGGGCGTCGGCAAAGAGAGCGCGTGTGGGCTAGTTGAACACTTCTGCGCTGCGTCATCGCATCTAGCCCAGCCAATAAACGCACAAACTGCCTTTTTTCGTAGCTAAATAGTGGAAAGCTGAGTTTGTTATATGTAATGGAACCACTTAAGACGTGTTTTTTCAAAAAGTTCCCGATTTTCCCCCTTAAGTTTTTCCTCGCAACCCCTTCCAAACCTGGAAATTACAGTCGTTCACTTTACTGGATATAATTCAAATTCTACGCATGCCATCGTAGTGAAATTTGATTTTTATTATTATTATTATTATTATTATAAGTTTATCTTTAACTTTTGTACTAAATGTTTTCTTATAAAACTATATCCAAAGAGATATAGCGTTTTAACTTTTTTTGATCATGTTTATGTTTTAGAGTACACAATTTTGTTTTACCCTCTATATATTTTTTCCAAATAAAATGTGCAAAATGTTTCAAAAAAAAATATTGTGTATGTTTCTTGCGGTTTATAAATATATATTTGGTTAGTCGTCTGAACGAACTGATGTATATACACTATATAGTGTGGTGCGTCGCAAGAGAGCGCGCGCAGGCTTCTTCAAAGCATCTGCGCAGCCCAGCCCCACCCGTCGATGCGTCGCGTCGTAGGCACCGACATTGCTAAGTACTCAAAGGTTGTATACAAATGCTAAAGTGTTGTACTTTGTACTTTACTACCAAAACAATCTGTATCCATGCTTGACCGTGAACTGCAAAAACAATTGTTATTTAGATGCAACCCAATAATTTACTTTTTTATAACCAGTTTTGGTTCAGGTAAATTAATCTCTACCTACTTACTTGTTATACTTGCAATACTTGTAATACTTGATTTCTTCATCTTTGACCAACGGAAGCTTGATAGATTGAGGTATAGAACAATAGGCCTAATAAAAACTTTATAAATCACTATAAACATACTCTTTGCTCTTCCTTACGTTACAATGTGCTTTCCATTATCTTCCACCAATGGGACTCGCAAGATTCCGCAAGATTTATACTAACTGCGCCTCGCGGTCAGTAACGATCTAAACAGTAAACTGCAAAAAAATAATAATTAGATTAAACCTAATTATTTGTACATTTCTTAAATTTATTGTTAGTCTTAACTCGTTCCTCATTTCAAATAATAATTTATTTAATTATTTCTGTCAACGTATACACCTAATGACAATAATATACATGGATACATATATTACATTACATAAAGCGTGTAAGAAACATACTGAACCCAATGATGAGATGACCCCATTCGCCTATGGGTCTGAGGATGATTCCAGTGTCGAATCGAAATCTACCACCACTTACCATCTTTTATGTATATTTACAGTATTGTGAGTAACATTATAAGTGTAAATTTATGTTTTAAGTGTTAGGCTATTAGACGCATTTTCTTTTATTTACTTTCCAATTAATTAATGTAATAAGGTATATATCCAAAAGTTATAAATAAGTAAGTAAAAAACTGTATTTGTGTCCCCATACATGCAGGCAAGACTATTTACGGGATACATACAGGAAAGTTATTCAAATTTCCTTTCTTAACATATTGTGAAGAGGTGTCAATCAAATTGGGTTTTTTTCATAATCTTGGTGACGTTCTGTTCTCTAATATTTGATTGTTTTCATGTTATCTTAAAAATGAGTCAGCATAATAGTTCTTTATTGGTTCGTGGTAGACATTATGCAAACGTTTAACATCGCTTATAAAGTTGAAGGCGCTTATTAAGTTTTTTAAAATCTCCTCAATTATATTTATAGACTTAATAAAAAAGTTGGTTTTAACATTGACTGGTTTTAATTTGTATATTCATTATCATGAGTAAAAATGGCTTATAAATATTAACAACAGTTTTCTACGTTGTTCGTGATATTATTTTAACACAGGCTTACAACTCATGGCAGAGCAGAAAGCTAACCCTTGCTAGTGGGAAGCGTGAAGAGAGGGAAATATCAATAATAGGACGCAGTTTGTATCAAGGATTAGTGGGTTGACAAAAACTTTTTACTGACAGCGAGATGCTTCATTTAGTCACGGTTTAGCTTGGAAACAGATTTTTTTGGTAGTAAATTAGGCTACAAATTAGGAAGTCTTCCGATTTGTATGAAACAGTTGAGAACTTAGCGGTGCCGGTCCTTATGCATCGACGGGCGGGGCTGCGCGGATGCTTTAAGAAGCCTGCACGCGCTGTCTTTGCCAATGCCCACATTACATCAGTCATTTCAGATGACTAACCAAATACATATACTTATAAACCTTAAGAAACACTAAAACTTTGTTTCTGACACATTATGAGTATTTTATTTGGAAAAAATATATAGAGGGTAAAACAAAATTTTGTACTCTAAAACATAAACATTATCAAAAAAAGTTAAAACGCTATATCTCTTTGGATATAGTTTTATAAGAAAACATTTAGTACAAAAGTTGAAGATAAACTTATAATAATAATAATAATAATAATAATAATACAAATCAAATTTCACTACGATGGCATGCGTAGAATTTGAATTATATCCAGTAAAGTGAACGACTGTAATTTCCAGGTTTAGAGGGGGTTGGGGGAAAAAGCTCAAGGTGGAGAATCGTAAACTTTTTGAAAATACACGTCTTAAGTGGTTTCATCACATATAACAAACTCAGCTTTCCACTATTTAGCTACGAAAAAAGGCAGTTTGTGCGTTTATTGGCTGGGCTAGATGCGATGACGCAGCGCAGAAGTGTTCAACTAGCCCGCACGCGCTCTCTTTGCCGACGCCCAGCTCTTCACCTGGTCACCTAGATGACTAACCAATAATATATTTGTAAACCTTGAAAAACGTACTAAAACTGTTGTATGAACCATATTTGCGTATTATTTCTATTTAAAAGTATATATAGAGAAAAACCAAATTTTGCACTCTGAAACAAAGCTTTTAACAAAGTTTAAATTTTATATCTCCCTAAGTATTGATTTTAGAGAAATGTTGTAAATACGAAAGTTGTAGGAAAACTAATCAGAAATAAAACAAAACAAATTGCAGCTCGATAGCTTAGATAGCATTCGAATTATGACCAATTAAGTAAAACACTGCAATTTCTATGTTTGGAGGGGGGTGGGGGGAAAGCTCAAGGGGTAGAAGTGGGGACTTTTGGGAAAATACACCTCTCATGTGGTTCTATCACATATAAAACAATCCAGCTTTCCACCATTTAGTTGCGATAAAAAACATTTATTGACTGGGCTATAAGACCCCTGGGGTGGATTTCTGGGAGAATTTGTTAATGCCACATAGATGTTGGCACTCACTGATATTGTCTTATCACCATGCAAAATGTAAAAATAAAGGATTGCTTTAGCCATCTAGGAGGAGTTTGCGTATGAAGAAATACATAAGAGTCAACGTATAAGAGCTTTACTCGCTCAGCTCAGTAAATGAAAGAATACAACTATAAAAGGGGTAGGAATACATGACAGTCATTGATCAGAAATTTATTGAAATTTACTTAAAACTTCAATAATGTTACAGTATCAGAGGCTGTGTACAAAGAGTATGACCAATTGAAGAATCAGTTTGAGTTGGAGACAGGAACGATGCAGAAGGCGATGCAAAGGGCATCTATGGTGAGTCAAATACTGTTACAAGTCAAATAAGTGGGTAAAAAAACAATCATGACTAAACAACATGTCATCAATCATCAAAAGTAGAAATCCCAACCATATAGAGAATAGTTGTAGCCATCCGTCTTTTACGAGATGCGATTGTTCAAAGAGCCTTTAATAAAGTGTGCTATTATTGGAGTATTATTTTTTATTTCAGCTTTTTCTATTCTATTATAGCTGATAGGGAGACAAAGATTCTTTAGTAGGTAACTAACAAGAATAAGTTTGGCATGAATAAAACAATTGGTACCTATTGGTATTTTGGAAAGAACTGCAATTGTTCAGTAGCAAACAATGTTTTGTAGCTCAACTGAAACAAGTTATTTTTGTTCTTGATTTAACTTTTTATTAAGTGAATGAAATGCTACCTTATGGCACGGTGCCTCACATGTGAGGCTTCCCAATTTTTAAATACAGTAGACCCCTTTTCATTGTATTTTTGATCAAAGAAAGCAATCTCTAAATGCTAGAAGCCTAGACAATCAATAGTACAACATTATAATTTTTATAATCAAGTATGGATTATTAGGCGTTTTACCAAAATCGTTTCCTTCAATACAAACTCTGTATATATCATGTCACCTTCGGACACACCATGTGATGGCCTTACACTTCACACTTCACAAGGCCAACAGATCCTTACTGTTCACTGCCTGCCTGTCTTAAATGTCTTGATGGATCAACTGACCTTCAGACATGTTGCATTATTCATCTATAACAAAACTTCTGTTTGCCATTCAACTTTAAATAATATTCTACAGAATCACTGAAATAGTTTTTCCTTAAAATACATACATTTTTATTGTAATACTAGTGTTCCCTGGCGTGTGTTGCTGCGCTTAACAACTATTATTTTAAATGGTAATTTGTTGTTTACGATAAAAAATATACCAAGAACAAAATATAATATGTATTTTACTTTATTGAAAGTGGATATAATCAATGTTTTTTCCTACAGTCACCTGACTAAGTGGGCTTCCTTGCAGTGATTATAGTACAGAAAGTTGCTAATTGCTGCATTTACTTACTTTTGCCACACTCTTTTTTTTGCCGCACTCCAGTATTCCAAAGTAACAACACAAAACAGCGTGCATGTAATCCGTGTATTGTATGCTTGAAAATAAGTTGGCAACACTTAAAAGATACTATGACTACGATCAGCTGTTGCTGTGTTTCCCAGTTCGTTCAAAGTTTGGATTTAACATAACCTAAAACGTGTTGTTATTTTGTGTTGTTTAGTGTTTGAAAGACTAATTATTTCTATCCTCTGTAATAACTGTAGGAAAAATATAATCATAATGTGTAACACGAGTGCAAATTGCCTTTGCTGCACCCGAGAAACATTCTACATTCGCCTACGGGTTGTGCGTGAGCATTTCTCCCAAGTGCAGCAAAGTGCCACTTTGCACTAGTTACACAAATAACTATTGTTTTTTCATTAGGTGTATAAATATATACTTTTTTTAGGCGTACCAACACGTGAGCATGCAACTTTCTTATTACTTATTGTATAAAGCATGCATTAAATTTAAATCGGCGACTACCCTTGTGCCTTATTAATGATGATTGCAAAAGCAAGACACAAAGGAAATTGTAGTTTCGCTTGAATTCAAAGTGTATTTCGGATTAAATGATTGTTATTTTTAGGATTAAGACTATTTCTCCTTTGAACTTACCACTGCTAATTGTTGCCTCGATCAAGTTTGGTGTAATATTTTTTAATCGTCAGTCTGGTTCCGTTGCAAAGCTTGGGTAGATTTAAGTTTCCCATATTAGTATTATTATATAGTATATTATAGCAGGGGTTCATAGTTGATGAAAATATGTTACTAAAGTTAGACCAACATCTTAAGTTTAGTCAACAATATTGTTCCCTGACGTCCGTTGCTGCACTTAACGAATATTATTTTAAATGGTGGGGTAATTTGTTGTAAGCAATAAATAATAAAAAATATACCAAAAACAAAATAGAAAATTTTTAAGCTTTTAACAATCAAAGCTAATTAATTATTAACAAATTAAGCTTTTAGGCATGCGTTAAGCTTGTCTGCAGGGGTTCATAGTTTACATGAAAATATGTTACTAAGGGTGGACCAACATCTTAAGTTTAGTCAACAATATTGTTGAAATATAAAATAACGGTAATTGATATTTTTTATATTCATCTTTGATCATGAGAAAAACATTAAAATATTGATTTGAAATTCGCTGAATAGCATTGTAACTTACAACACTGAATGTTGTAACTATTCAAACCTACAAAACACATGGTGAAAGTAAATATCATCGCTTTGAAAGCATTGTAGTTCAAAAAGTCTAACATTGAATTCCTTAAAACCCCATAAGTGGCGGAGCCCTTTGGCGGATCTGCCCCAAACTTTACATGCACCATCCTTGAAACATTCTTCATCCTCGAAAGTTTAATTAAATTCTGTTGTGCGGTTTTAGAGTCCATTCGCAACATACATACATACATACTTATTTCCTCTTTTATATCTATATAGCCTATAAATTCCCTAACCATATTGAACATTTACTGTAATTACTTTGACAGTATATATTTTTTTCTATACCTTGTCCTTTTTCAAATCAACCGTGCAAACAATCAGTAAATCACTTTAGTGTTCATGTCTGTAGTTAGTTAACGTTTTCTTTAGAAGGGTTGAGAAAGCGCCGTTTTTAAAGTAAAATTAATAAATGTTATTTTACATAGGTACCAACTTATAAAAAAAAAATACAAATTATTACATTAGAATAGTAAGTATGTAAGGATACATTTTCGTTCTACTAAACCTGTTTAAATCTAGGTAGTTTAAGTGGCAAAGTACCGGGGTTAATATAGTTTATTTTAATTGTAAAAGCAATATAAAGGAAACTCACAATTTTTACAACTAATTTTGGCTTTTATTATTTAAGTCCCAGTGGAATTTCAATTTATTATTAATACAGCTGTCCAAATTATGTAAACTATAAAAAAGAGTGTGTACAGATTTTAAAATCTACCCTTGAATAAGAATAAAACATTGAGTTGACGCCAGTGCACTCAAATGTCACCAACACATAACATTCATTAACACTTGCTCTATTTTCCCCTATAAAGAGTAATCTTTAGTGTAATCTTTGCTCAATAGTTACAACTGAGGTTTATTTCTGTGTACTGTATTTTATAATAATTTACTAGTACTGTGGATGTCTTATTTAACACATCTTACAACTCTTGTTTACTTTTAACTCGTTATTTTGTTCAACCAACATAGTTACTCGGTAACCCATACAGCCAATGTTAAATTTTAAAATTTTCAAATGAATTCTGTAGCGAAATACAAATTTTTGTGAGGTAGTGGCGGGTTTTAATCACACTTTTAATGCTTCAAGTCCTTAATTCCAAAATTTATTTAAAATACTTGCACTGGATTTTGAGATATATTACAGACAGACAGACGGATTCAAATTCAAATATATTTGTTATGGAAATTACAACAGCTTGGCCTCACCAAGTTTAAAAAAACTTGTCGGTGAGGTCCAATTGATACAATATAAGGCTAACAAACAAATAGTTTACATTTTTTTTCTCTTTTTTTTAACAAAGTTTTCTTAATATACTATACTTCTACGGCGGTTTGTGGCAGGCACTTTAACTTAAAACAAAGTAGTTGGCAGCACACTAAAAAATCTAAAATGTAATGACAATGACATAAGTATTGCTTTATAATCTATGGAATTCTTTTTGGATTGCTCATATTTGGTCCTCTTTGTTTTCATGGTCCGTAGACCATGTTTGAACTGTTTGTTTGCACAGAAGACTGGCAGTGCCGGCCAAGCTGAGCTGACTGGAAAAAAAGAAGAAAAAAACCCTGAAACTTAAGTCATTTGGTTTGAACGAACATAACCTCTCACTCACTGTGAAACGCCTATGCATGCATGCATTCTCACAAAGCAGAGAAAAATAATAATAATATTTTTTTGGATAAACAGACTTTGCTCGTATTAGAGCAAAGAAGTTTGTAGTTTTGTTGCATTTAGTATAGTTTGGTACAGTAATTACCTATATATTATTGGAAATAATAGATCATGCTAACAGGGGTCTTTAGGTTGTCTAGTTCTCAAATCAGGAAATAGTTTGGATGGCTTCACATATTTGTACCATGAACTGAATAAACTAAAACTTTACATCACAAAACAGACCAATCTTTTCTTTAAATCACTGAGGATTAACGGGGGCACTGACCGTAAAATGAAAGAACCATTAGTCAGTCCCAATTTACAAAAATGATCATGAGTGATCAAGTGGTGGACAAATTTACCAACTTCCGGTGGGTTGACGTCAAACCCACTCCTGCATTTAGCAAGATTCATTCAGTATTGGGTCTGTGACTGTCTGGCTGGCAACTTGCCAAAACATTTCTAGCTTGACATTGTTTCAATTTGCTACTTGCTATAACTTTATTGGGACATTGCTTTCAAAAAATATTGAGTGTAATAATACGAATGGTGTAGTCGTAAATTTTCCAGTGTGGGAACGCCTATCATTATCAGGGAAAAATACGGATTACTTACTGATACAGGTTCTTTGGAAAAAGTAGAGTGGGAACGCCGTTCCCGCCCCAATACACCAATGACAATAACCCTTAGAGTACGTACTAATTAAAAAATACTTCTGCCGCAGCAAACTTGCAGGCTAAGCAAAATTCCATTTGCCTTATAGGACTTTAACTTTAACTAAAATATCTCCTTATTGCATATTTTCAGATATGCTGGTGAACCTTCGCAAATACGGTATCTGAAAGTTTCAAGCCAAAACAAATGCTTCACAATTAAATGTCACCCGGATCATTTTGGTCCATATGTTATATCCTATGATCAAACTAAAAAAATGCTTTATAGATCTATGAAGCATAGTCCTCCAGTCAAGGAATGAGGTGTAGAGTGCGTGAGTTGGTAACTAAGCGATTCCTTCAGAA